CCGCCGCTCGCTGCTCGCTGCTCGCTGCTCGATTGCGCTACAGGGGTTCTCCGAAGCGACTCGGAAACCTCCGCCACCGCCGCACCGCTTCTGTCGCTCTTTTATCGACCTTCTTTTCTTTCTTTACTTTTTTATTTCGCGGATAACAAGCGGATCTACGTGTAATCGAATTGCTTAGAATCCCGACGATCTCGGCCTCTAAGCTGTTTTCGATTTATTACTTCCTCCTACCCGTCTCTCGCTTTCTCTCTCGGTGCCAAACGGCTAACGGCATCCCTATCGGTATCTTAATTACCGCGCAATCGAGATTACGAGACCACGCAGACGATCGAGAGGACTCGTTTCCCGTCGATCGTCCGCGTAATCGTACAGTCACTCGAGATGTATACATTTCCAAATCTCGCGATTAACGATCGCCACGATTGCCGCAACCGCTATCGCGTAACCTTTCACGGTTCGCACCGGTACAATATCCTTCCGAACCAAGGAACTTATGAAAAGTGAACGTATCGTGCAGCTGTTCTGACGAGTTACGAAACCAGTGACCCACGCTGAAAAACACGAGTATCGATTTTACGAGACTCACGGGACTCGATGCATCCTGCGATCCCGTCAAAGCCTCGATCGATTCGACCTCGTTCAGCCCGTATCGGGACGATCGTTAAACGTTAACCCCCGTATACATTATAATGCACATTTATTTCGCTCGGTATAATAAAACTTGCGCAACGTCGGTGTCGAAATTCAGCGCCGTTAAGCAGTTCGAGGTAATTACGAAAAATAGTCGGAAGGGTTAAAGCTTTGTACAACGTACGTTAGGAAACTGCTTGTACAGCAAAAGCTTTCGCAAACCGCAAGCTCGGTACGTTAGGTTGTTTGCGTTTATCGAGCGGTAGGTGCATCCATAGCGGAACGACGCAGAGTCGATTTAACGAATCCAAATAATTTCGATTATATCGTTCGATGGAAAAATGTTTCTCGGCGTCGTTTCACTGACTCACCCATCCTCTCTCCGTCGCGCCCCAACCGAAGGTTTTCTCGATCTCGGTTCGCCTCCCTACCGCCCCCATTTATCCTCGCCGCTCTTCGTTTCTCTCGCATTTCCCCTATTTCCCGGCCTTTTCGCCGTTTCCCGATTTCTCTACGCCCCTGCCGCGTCTCTCTTCCTCTTCCGTGCGGCCGTCTTTCTTGATCCTTCCGGTGTTCCGAGCCCTCTTATTCCTTTCTCACCCGGCCTATCTTCCTGTTCCCTCGCTTCCGGTTCCTTTCGTTTTTTCCCACTGTTTTCCTCCCGTTTCTCTCCATTCTCCAGTTTTTTTTCCAGCTGAAACAGAAAGCGAGTTAGTTCCTCGTCGACGAGTTGATTCGAGAGGGACGTAAATGCTCGACGAACAACTACTCAGCCGGCCGCGATGCATCGTTAAACTTTTCCAATTTACGAGCTTCGAGCTATCGGGAAACGAATACGCGGTGTTTTTGGTCGAACGCGCGCGAAAACGCGTGCCACGTGTGCGCGAATAAACCCGGATATTTCGCACGTTCATACAGAAACAACCTCGCGAGTAAGTCCAATTGTTCGCGGTCGTCGTTTTAAGCTATCATTGAGAACGGCGACCCGGTTCGCGCCAAATGCGTCGACCTCGAACGTTTCACCGAGATTACTCTCGGTCGTTGTTCACCGCGATCTGACGCGAATAGTTACGAATGGCGGGACTAAAGTGCCGCCGCCACTTGTCGCGAAATCGTAAAAGAATCGTTCGGTGTACAACGACCGGGCAAACGGTGGAACAGCGGTGCTTTCGTTTTCGTCTCTTATCTACAAATATCACCGACGGGATAAATTCATCGACATGACCTCGAGGTTGATGACACTTTAATTCCAATAACCGGAAAATTACTTGAAACGGTAAATTGCGAATTAGCAAAATACCAGGATCAACCCCGAAAACGTTAACCCTGTCGACAGCCGGGAAATTCGCTTCGTCACCCCGTTTTCCTGTTATCGGTAGTCCGTAATGTCCGGAACGAATTTTCCCCGGCAGAAAACCACCTCCGTTTCAAACTCGCGTTTCACCTCGTATATTTTTCTAAAGATTAATCCTTGGAAACATCAGCGATCGGAAAAATTTAATATGAAAGCACATTTTTCGCTCCCACGAAATTAGATTCACGAGGTGAAGGCTTTAGAGTTGAAACTTCAAAAGCGAAACTAACTCGTTAAAAGTGATTCGATAAAGTTACCGAGCTCGTTATAAGTATACGTTGTTCGTTACCCGGTCAAGTATTATCCGTATGTAGTCCAATATCCTCCTTACGTGCAAACAATTGCACTTTCCTACATGAATTATTTGACTGTAAGAAACATAAAATCGAGTGAAATACGTGTAACGTTGAAACCATTGCAATACAATATTTCATGAGACTCGATAATTCCGCGATCACGATCGAATGTTTCTTTGAACAGGAAGCGATTGTGCGGCGTACGAAGGTCAGCCGGAGAAGTGGTTGCAAGATCGGTAACCTTTAACCTCTCTCGGATTTCTCTTCGTCTGATCCTCGCCTTACATCATCTCTCACTCGTCTCTTTCGCATTACAAATTGCACTGGTATTAACCCCTTGCACTATTTTGACGAGTCGGACTCGTGACGCTCTCGGCTGTGATCAATTTTACTTGAATTTGTACGCTTTGATTTGAAGTTCAAGTTCAATTATAATTTGCATAGTCAACGATTGCATAATAATATACTCACAGTCACCATTATATTTAATACAATAATTTTAAATGAGCATTTTTTAACTGATTTTATAACATGACACGTGTGATGTATAAACATAGTGAAACAGTAGAAGCAGTTAGTAATTCGTTAGAAACAGTAGAAATTATTAATAAAGAAAGTTAGCATAGCTTCTTAACTTTTTTTACAATTTGTCATTCAAAACTATTTATAGTTATATTATTAAAAAAATGTGAGTATTTTATATTATTGCATCTTATGATGAGCATCCTTGACTGTACAAATTATGGACCTAACCTTGAGTATTAATATTGTAGCAGTAATTATTCAGTTCTGACTGACGCACTTGACAAATAAGCCATAGTGCAAGGGGTTAATCTTGAACTCTAGGTATCTTAAGACTCGAGAGTCTTTCCTCGAGGTACAATACAGTTTTGAAGATCGATCTTTGTTCCCGAATTTCCTCCCAGTCTTTGTCTCTCTCGGAAGAAGAAAGAGGGTGAAATGGCCGAGAAAGCACGAGAGAAAGACGTCCAGGAAAAGGACGCCGACTAGGCAGCTGACCGTGATTGCCGAAGTAGTCGATTTAAAAGGCTGCTGGCTACGTGTTGCACGTTTCGGTAAAGGGCAACCGGTACTCGAAGAACTAGTCCCGGCAGATGGCACGCGCTCAGTCCCTTCGGGACCCTCCGTAGGCCCCTCTGAAGGATCTAGCGTTCCTTTCTGGGAAGGTCGTGGGCTCTCGATCTGTGAAAAAGTTGATTCATTTGTTATATTGAATCTCATGTTCGCTGCAATGGTTCACGGATTAACGAAACGTGATCGGAAAGGCTATGCACCGTGATCCGCAACGTGCTCGTTCGCCCGTGTACGCTGTTTCGAAACGCCAGCGAAACTTGCTCAGCCAATTTGATGCTGCTATGAAAATCTTTCTCTACGCGAAGAATGAATTCTGCCTCGAGATTTTCGATAAAGGATAAACGGATCGAATTCGCTCTCCTCGCGTCGCTCCGGAGAGCAGGTGCGCCATGCATCACGGAAAACCAGTCTTTGTCTTATTGATCCTGCTTCTGCCCTTTGGACCGCCACCAATCCCACCTGCCGATCACGTGGCTTGGACCGCTTGGCCATGCACGATTTACCTTTCGATACAATGCGTTCTCGAGCGTTTTCTACGCTTTTTTACCGAGACGCTCTCCTGCAAATATCGCAGCAAATAGAATCTAAGAATATTTGAAATCGCCGATGGTATTGCGTGATCGACGCATGGGCGTTCTGTGGCAATTTGTAATCCAATATGATCAATCGAGCGAACGAAGCCGCATCCCTGTCGAAGCTTTTTGCAAGGTGTCCGATTGACGACCACCTGTCGGTGCCGATGACAATTTGCCGCCCATTGCAGGCCGTGGCAATCGGTGAAATGCCAGGAATGCCACGTTGAATCCGTGTTAAAATCGCGTTAACGAACCGCGAATAAAAACGGAAAATGCACGTGTTCCCGATTCTCAGGACTAAGTTTGCATGCTGGGTTGTAAGCGCGAAAACTAGTCCGAAAACAAGAGAAAAGCGGGAAGCCCGGAGGAAACGGGGAAACAAACAAATGGTGGCTGCTTGGACGATCACTGTCCTGCTATTATTTTGCGCGTCCAACGTGTGGAAACACCGAAAGAAAAAGAGAAGCGGAGACTCCGATGATTACTGACCCATATTCTGTTTCTTGAACAAAGCTTTCGCTTTTTCTCGTTTATCTCGCGGTGGTTGGCGTAAAGCACGAATACGCGTTTCGGGGAATAAATCGTGGCGCTGGTTCTTTGCCGTGTTCTCGATAAAATGGAAATTAATTGGAACATATCATTTTCGCAAAGTATGAAATCGTATTCGTGGAAATATAACTGGAACAAATGGGGGTGCACGGGGTAACGAATGCGGTCAATTGCAGTCACGCGAACAAGATAAGAATACGATCGTGAAGGCATATGACAAATTTTAAGAAGTCACGACACGAATCTTAACGACTAGTTCGCGCTTCTACGTACCGCTTTCCACTTATCTGCTGAAACTGTTGTCGCGCGAATCGCCGATTAATCGGATAAAATACGACCATGATGAAACTGTTGGTAAATCGGATCTGGCATTAGCTGGATATTTCTTTAGCTCCGGCTAAGCCAGACACGACGATTTTATTCGAAAACGGTATTTTACATAAAACGTTTCTAATAATAATATCTATACATATTTCATCAAACAAACGTAAACGAAAGTCACACGAAGTTTGCTAAAATCCCCTGTTTATATCACTTTGTACTTTAGTACCGTAAATAGGAAAAGTCAGGTACCTTAAATTTCATTAAAAATCATCTTCGTCTGTGTACTCGCATTCTTCTACGATTCTCGTAATTTCAGCGTCGTACTCTCGCGATTCGTCTTCCGACAAATGCGATTCACCTTCCATAAATTTGGCGAACCTAAAAAATTAAGTTGTTTAAATTGCCGGCTGCTGATTCCTTTTTTTATTCGTTCGGGTAACAACCTGATCGGATCTTTTAATTTTAGAATTGTCCTCCATGGATTACACTCGGGACTGGAACAGTAGCCTTTCAGTTCGTTTAACGCTTTATTTGTTTCTCTTATTGCTTCCTTACGATATTCATCGTCGGTTAATAATTTTCTTCTCTCAGGAAACATACTCTTCCTAATCGTAGACATGTAACATACTTTCCTTTGTAAACTTTAACTATCTTAACTAAACTTTAACTATAATACTATCGATACTATTACAATTAGCATTTTATTAAAAATTAAGGGTCCGTAAAATTGTTCGGACGAAAATATAAAACGATACAAAACAGGTTTTAATTATATTATAATGTTTTATTATATTTCTATCGAAATAAAATAAAGTTTCAATAAAGAATGCAATCATTATTTATTGGTAATTATACAAAACGTAACAAAATATAAAATACCGGTACGCGACATGCGTTCAATGAAAAAATAACATGGGTTAACTTGTAAAAGAAGATTAACGTTTCGGGTAATGGAACTTACCAATAATTTCTCCCTCTTCGAATCAGTACAACTGGGAAATTACAAACAAGAATAAGTATGACGCAACAAAACAATGATGCTTCGCGGAAGTAACTGCTGGAGTACATCATAGCTAATCCTACTATCTGTACAAACAAAATTAAAATATTAGATTAAGTTTGTTGCTAATTTCAAGGTTATTGAAATACAAACCTGCAAGAACCATTCGATGATCTTTTTCGTTCTAGCATTCGTAACAGGGCCAAAACGGTAGCAAATTACAAAACTAATTAGAGATGTTAATAGTATGTACCATGTGACCCATTCCCTGTACTGGACCGCAATCAGTCGAGCATTTTCCCATAACGCTTGTATCAAATAAAAACTCATTGTCCAACCAGTGGCTACCATCAAGTACATAACTTTACCCTTAAATTATATATGACTTGTAAAAACTGATGTTTCAATGTATTAAACAATAAGTATAAGGGATCAATTACCCTTGGTAACAATTTGCTAACAAAGTATACTAAAATAATGATCGAAGTAGTAATCCCAAGTGTGATACCACATAAGTAATAAAATAAAGGATTTCCACTTAATTTGCGGGCACTCCAATATAATAAAGCACCCAATAACATTTGTATTAGGTTGGAAGCATCGATATCTGAAAATGGAAAATATTTGAATGACTCTTGAACATTATCTAATCATCTGTCTGCTCATATTACTCACTTGTTTGCGTCATACTCATTGTGTATTTGTGTAGGTTTGAAGGATATACGTATATGCCAATGCAGACATCCTCAAATGGATTGATTTTAAATTTCTTTTGCTTCTTTGTACCAAATAAATTCAGATTCCAAGATCTCTGATTATCATCGTGCTTCTGTATCACTTCTTGTGCTGTTTTTCCATCATAAATGTCATAGTTATCTATATTTGTATTTAAATGCATCTGTAATTTGATTGCATATGTTGACATGATATAGATCAATACAGATTATTCGAAATGTTATTCTCTTACGCTTAAACTTCTCCATATGTGTATCAAATATTTTGTGTTGGCATTGTGACAGAATATTTGTAACCCAGGCTTATTATTTTCATATAAATCTTCAGGTTTTAGAAAATGTGCTGAAAATTATAAAAATTAATTAGTAAACACATTATATTATTGATGAGTTACTGTCATACTTTCATCATGGAAACACATGTACCATATTTTTCTCTGCACATAGAATTTAAGTTTATTGATAAATTTTACAAGTGACACAAGACTGGGCAAACATATTGTTACCTATTATCATTGTTATCTTACGAATCATTTCGTATTTTTTGAAATAATACAAAATCCGGCAAATTTAAAAATGATTCATAGGTTAATTTAACTTACTTGATTCCATGTTCAATGCAGAAGCTATGTGAGATAAGTGCAGACAAAAAAGAAGTAAAAGGCCAACTGTACTTGGATAAATTATTTTCAGAGCCATTTCGCTTGTCGTATAAAAATGAATGTTTCTTATTAACTGAATCCACGAAGCGCTGTGCATAGTAACATCGTGAAGTTAGTATCCGATCATTTGAAATTCGAAACCTGAGAGTTGAAAATGTCGAGAGAGATATCGAACGTGTTGTTTCTAACTTCGTACAGTAAAATTTGTAATCGGCCCGGTTTACATTGCTCTTATAACGAAAGTATGAGAGAGACAGCCATTTTCCTGTCTTCTTTGTTCCTAAGGGAAATATTCCTCCTTGATTATTGTAAACCTGATCTCAGAAATAGAGAAGTAGCGCGAATGTATTCTGATTTGAAAACACGGTTTTTAACCTTCCACGCTTTGAGTACCGGTATGAAACGGATGCAGAAGATAGCAATAATTGTAAAACCTTAATGAGCCAGTTTATCACGATTCAAGGTATATTTATGCGATATTACATTGTTATAATCAATTTATTTCCTTAAGAAAAATTCGTAAATATTTTTCAATGCATTCTTCTACGTCGATTTCAGTCGGACAATGTGGAAATCAAATCGGTTCGGCATTTTGGCCCCTAGCATTGCACGAGTATGGTATAGAAACTGCAAATACTGGCGTGAACTTACTTAAAATACAGCGAAACTACGTTAAAAATATAGATGATCTGTCAGATGCGTTTCATAGCTTCTTTGTTATACCAGATAATTCTCATGATTTTTGTTTCAAAACTGTGAATGATCTGAGGAGAGCTAAAGTCAAAGCTAGGGTATGTTGACTTCTTCCTTAAGACACTGTCTTAGTAAGCTAACAATCAACTTTTTACTATTTAGGCAATAATGATAGATATGGAAGATAGTGTAATAGGATCACAAAGAAAAGGTCCCTTGCGTGATTTGTTTGATCAAAAATGCATAGTGACTAATTACCCAGGCTCTGCAAATAACTGGTAATTGATTGTTTCACTTAACATATTTTCTAAGTGAAAGGCACTATTACTTTTAGGGCCATGGGTCATTATACTTATGGTAATGAGTATTATGAAAGATTAGAAGATACCATACGACTGTCAGTAGAAAAATGTTCAAGGCTACATGGTTTTCTACTTATGCATTCAGTTGGAGGTGGTACTGGTTCTGGCTTAGGAACAGCCATTTTAAAATTACTAGCTGATAACTATCCTGTGATAGATAGGTATTCCTTCATGAAGACTATGTCCTCTTTAAAGACATTTTAATTAGTCAGAAATGTTTATTTGTACAATGTTAATAGTTGATTTTACAGATTAGTATCTTGTATATATCCAACAGTCATGCAAGATGTTGTAACAGCACCTTATAATGCATTGTTAGCCACGCAAGAGCTTATAGAATATGCAACATGTGTGTTTCCTATTGAAAACACATCCCTGTTGGATATATGCGATGCACAGTTGAAAAAGAAAGAGAACATAGATCAGATAAACTACAATATTTCGTGTAAGCCCTTCCAAGACATGAACAGTATCATTGTAAATATGCTTCTTCATTTAACTAGGTAACTCGATATAATTAACATGAGTAATAAACGTCGACAGAAGACTAAAAACGAAAGTGCTATTTCAGTGGGTCCAGATTTCCTGGTAGCTTAAATATGGATATGAATGAGATAGCAACAAATCTCGTAGCCTATCCGAAATTACATTACATATTTAGCAGCGTTAGTCCGGCAACACTAACCGCTTCAACAATGTGCACTCTGAAAGGAGCAAAGTATATGTTCTTAATTTACTTTGAACTTTTTTTTATGAAATGATTTTTATCGTTTTTTGTTTATTAGACTACTGGATGAATTATTTAGTAATGCCTGGTCACGAAGCAATCAGTTGATCAAAGTAGATCCGCTACAACTCGGTTCTAAGATATTGAGTGGTGCACATATTGCCAGAGGAAACTGTTTTATAAGCGATTTAAAACGAAACGTCGAAAGGTAGCAAGTCTGCATAAATTATAATAGCGTTAATATTAATATTCCGTCACAACTGTTAGGTTTCAACGAAAAATTACGTGCACGGAATGGAGCAGAGAAGCTATGAAAATAGGTTTGTGCTCAGTACCTCCTGCTGGACATTCAACCTCGTTGTTGTGCCTTTTAAACTCTACCTCGATGCATTTGTTATTTAAAAATGTAATAAAACAATTTGTTACATTATACAAAAGAAAGGTATTCGTAAGACACGTTGGATACATTGCGTGTAAATATGTATATCATAATATTTATTTGAACGGTATGATTATTTTGCAGGCACACGTATATCACTACACGCAAGTACGTGGTTTCGAAGAAGCACATTTTGTCGATAGCCAAGAGATCGTGTTAAACTTAATTGCTCAATATACAGAATTGCAGAATCAGATAGGACCGAAAATCTCACGATTACAAATTATTTAACCTCGCGATTGTTAGTAAACTCTAAATTATACAAATTTATTTATTAATCCGATATATACATTAACAACTTAAACAAAACGGAATAAAAATAGTACATCTATCGGCAACAATGAATTATTGCATTAGCCATTGAGAGACCCGCAATTTGCATAAATATATGACTGGTTTGAAAAATTTTGTTGGTTGCTTCGAAAAGTATCTACGAACATAGCATTTCGAAAAGCTTTGCAAAGTCTCGTGGACCGAACTTCTTTGGGTATTTATATATCCACAAACACGGTCGTTTCTCTTCATGGATGTTTTAACTAGCTGGTATTTGCGGCAAGCCAAATTCGTCGACTAAGACACCATCCTGAAAAGAAGAAATCAATGATAATGATCACGATAACAAATTTGCGTCGTCATCGAAATATATCAAGAAATAGAACTTTAATAGATCGTAGATATGAAGACGAACCTTATTTCTAACCGAGCTAGCGCCAGGTTCTTTATCAGGGGCGTTCGGAGCTTTGATAGCATCATCCAAGTAACTCGTATCTTCGTCAATGGCTAAATCATCGCCGAGAGCTTCTAACTCGGCAGCTAATTCATCCTCGTCGATTTCTGGCATGCCGTAACTGCGACCCATCGCTTCTTGGACTTCGTCGGCTTGTTCCAGCATGTCGGCCAAATCATCTTGAAGATCCTGTAATACTTTGAATGAGTTTACCACCGAAACACGAAATGTCTGAAAGGAAAATTTTAAGAAACACCTCTATCTTATCTATATTAATATTCTTAAATTCTTTCTGCATCTGTTTAACACCCTCCTTCATAGCAACCACGGTTGTCTGAGTATCTTTTAACGTCTGAGTAGCATAATTAGCTTGTTCCATATTAAATGCTTGTTGACGCAAGTTATCTACTTGTGCTTCGTACATTTTTCGCTGCTTCAAAACGCGTAAGGCTTTAGCCTTCACCGCGTTCTTCGCAGGGCCTTCTCTCATTTTAACCATTTGATCCTTATACTTCTTTAACTCCGCATCTAATTTAGCTATCTTTTTCTCCGCAGAGTCTGCCCTACTGTCAACCTTAAAAAAACATAAACAATTACGTTTTAATCGAGAGGACAGTAACATAACCTTAATGCTATGGAGAAACGTAATGACTTACCCCAGCGATGCAGTCGGTGATGCTCGGTGCGGGTTCCTTAGGTTTGGCTCGGCCGAAGAGTCTATTCATTTTGTTGTGCGAAAGGTATTGTAAAAATGTAAAATACTTTACTTATTCTTTACTCGTAACTCGTTCTCGCTGGAAACGTCAAACGGACTGATTCATTGGTGACTGCTCCATCTATCGTTGAGGAAGGACATGTACACCATGTACGTATACAAATCTTAAACTAATATGTACGTATGATATAACTTGGTAATTTGTAGGTAGATGTATTATTGAGTACTAGTCATTTCAACGAAACGAAAATGTTATGGAATCAAGATCGTTAGATGGAAAGTTCGAGAACGGTCCCGCCTTTTTTACTTGATGACTGAAATGCTACTGAAACGAAAAAAAGCGGGAAACTTCGGAATAGTGTCATGTTCCAATTTTGGCAAACCAAGCTCCTTTTTTGGAAAGAAACCTGCGAGCTAAAATGATATGTATGTATTTATTTAAGACCTTCAGCTCGATATAAATCAAGTACATCGATTGAATTAAATCTAAAACGATGCACGTGGCGCCATCTAGCGGCAGAACGCCGGAACTAACGAAGCTGGTGTTTCAAAAGTGTGTAGTTCACCCCGTTCGCCGGAGAGATGGCGCCACTAGTTCAATTTTTTTTTTAAATTCAATTATTATCGATTTTATTGATTAATATGCTATATATTTATTATATATTTATTAATATTGATTCTATGCTGCTTTCTTGACATTCTGCAGGTCCAAATATGCGGATTATGAGTTCAGAACAATGTGTACACTGAATAGCATATGGTCGATGATATAGGGAATGACCAGAATGCCCAAAAATTTCCTTTCGAAGTACCAAAAAGCATTCTCACAGGTATCTTCCTTTCCAGAAAAAAAGCCTACTTGTAGAATTTGTTCAAGGTAGAAGTATGAAGGTTCCCCGAAGTTTTACCGGAAAATGCGTAATTAATTTTTTATACGAGCAATTAAGATCTACCAGTGCAAGGATTAGTTACGCAAATAATGCCACTGCGGTTAATGAGAATCGTAAAATATGGTAATCAATACACCGCAACTGATTTCGAATTGTTATAACCAATTGACGGTAGGTCGTTTCACTCATGCATTGTAGCGACTGCAGTAATTTTACAGCATGATTTTAACATTTTAAGCAGGAAGTTTATGCAAGAATCCGCCTTTAGAAACATTTTTTGTTCCATCGCTCACGATATTCGCCACTCGATGGAGCCATATGTAAGAATTCCAAAACACGTAAATCCGCAAGACAATTAGATCGTCTTAGAAGCGCATAAAGAACGAGTAAATATTTCCGCAAACACAGTGACCCAATTCACAAAATATCATAAACCAACAGTCGCAAGTAAGTGGAACGTATAATTATGCATGTACATCACGTAGAACATCCTCGAGTACTGTTTAACTTTATTATTAAACATTGCAGGTTCCCGAAAGGTGATATCGTCGTACGCTAAAGGTCGATTTTTTGCATTTCGCTTCGGTTGATAGGTGATCGAAGAGGCAATTTAGTTTGATCGTTGAACGGAAGAGGGAAACGTCGAGGCGGTCGCATCGGGCGCGTAATTGGAACCGGAGAAGGGAAGATAGTAGAGTCGGTCAAAGAGAAGGACGGCGGTGACGACGGCTATGGAGGTTTTCTCCGATTATCGGTAGCGTTTTTTAAATTCAATTATTATCGATTTTATTGATTAATATGCTATATATTTATTATATATTTATTAATATTGATTCTATGCTGCTTTCTTGACATTCTGCAGGTCCAAATATGCGGATTATGAGTTCAGAACAATGTGTACACTGAATAGCATATGGTCGATGATATAGGGAATGACCAGAATGCCCAAAAATTTCCTTTCGAAGTACCAAAAAGCATTCTCACAGGTATCTTCCTTTCCAGAAAAAAAGCCTACTTGTAGAATTTGTTCAAGGTAGAAGTATGAAGGTTCCCCGAAGTTTTACCGGAAAATGCGTAATTAATTTTTTATACGAGCAATTAAGATCTACCAGTGCAAGGATTAGTTACGCAAATAATGCCACTGCGGTTAATGAGAATCGTAAAATATGGTAATCAATACACCGCAACTGATTTCGAATTGTTATAACCAATTGACGGTAGGTCGTTTCACTCATGCATTGTAGCGACTGCAGTAATTTTACAGCATGATTTTAACATTTTAAGCAGGAAGTTTATGCAAGAATCCGCCTTTAGAAACATTTTTTGTTCCATCGCTCACGATATTCGCCACTCGATGGAGCCATATGTAAGAATTCCAAAACACGTAAATCCGCAAGACAATTAGATCGTCTTAGAAGCGCATAAAGAACGAGTAAATATTTCCGCAAACACAGTGACCCAATTCACAAAATATCATAAACCAACAGTCGCAAGTAAGTGGAACGTATAATTATGCATGTACATCACGTAGAACATCCTCGAGTACTGTTTAACTTTATTATTAAACATTGCAGGTTCCCGAAAGGTGATATCGTCGTACGCTAAAGGTCGATTTTTTGCATTTCGCTTCGGTTGATAGGTGATCGAAGAGGCAATTTAGTTTGATCGTTGAACGGAAGAGGGAAACGTCGAGGCGGTCGCATCGGGCGCGTAATTGGAACCGGAGAAGGGAAGATAGTAGAGTCGGTCAAAGAGAAGGACGGCGGTGACGACGGCTATGGAGGTTTTCTCCGATTATCGGTAGCGGTGATATCGTTGGCGGTGGCGGGTGAAACGCGAACGCGCGTGCGTGACCGACGTCGCCGCGCGACGCAGCAGCGACGTAGCGACGACGACGTCGACGAGGACGAGGACGAAGCGGCGGCCGAAGATCGCCGAGCGCACGGCTACGCGGAGAGACTACGGCTGGTATGGTGTGGGCCGCGGCACGGCCACAGTGTTCCAAAAGTCGGCACCGCGGACGAATCGTATCACGCGCGACGCGAAGCTGCGTCGTCGAATCGCGGTCTCCTGGCCTCGATCGAGTGCAGCCAGGGAACGCGAGCAGGCAGCCAGGCAACCGGCTGCCCGATCAGCGATCGAGCTAGTCTACGTTTGCCGAGTCACTGGAAACTCGAGGCGGCTCTGCGGAGGAATCGCTGCACCGCATCTATCGTTTTGAAGGAGCGAGCACGAGATAGGAAGAGAGAGAGAGAGAGAGAGAGAGAGCTAGTGAGAGAGAGAGGGAGCATTAGAAAGAGACGGAGAGAGAGAGAAAGAGAGCTAGAACGATCGAGAGCGGTAGCAGCGCGAGTGGGCAAAGTACGCTCGCTGCCAATGGGAAGAGGCGCTAGATCGAACCAAGACGAGACAAGGTGGTGAGCTCGGCGAACGCCCATAGGACACGAAAAGCCAAAGCCGCGACACACGGAGGGGTCGCGTCGTCTCGCGTCGTTTGGCGTCGTCTCGCGTAGACGAGCGTCGAGGAACGTCCGTGCGCGTTCTCGGCGACGCGTATCGTCGGGCCGAAAGAGGATCGATCGTTCAGTCGATCGCGAGTGCGCCGAACGGCAGTAGCGATCCGATGTCGGTCGAAAGGAATCGCTTGGTCGGAACCGTTTGGTCGGCTCGCTGTGTTCAGTGACGTATCGGTAGCGTCGCGCGCGCGGCAAGGACCAAGGATCCCTCGCTCGTTCCCAGTTGTTCGCCAAGTGCGCGAGTGTTTTTCGGTTGCTAGCTGGCTCGCGCGCGCGCCGCGACGCGTGCGTGTGCTTGTGCGTGTGGTTGTGCGTGTGGCTTTTTTTCCATCGTGGTATTCCACGCGCGTGTTGGTTGCAGTGGAAGAGGGAAGGTCGCGTTGCATCGGCCGCATTTGGGAGCATTCCAAGTGGCTCAGCGCTCGTCGAGGGAAACGATTATGTTCGCTGGGGGCGAGTGAATACCGGAAACGTTCTCGCTCGACCTTCGATCGACGGTCAAAGGTCCTCGGGCAACAGTTTCATCGCGGACGATGACGATGCTCGTCGAGCGAACGATCGCTCGATAACGAGTGTAGAATGCTACGGAAGCAAAGTCGCTACCGAATTGTATGGAAGCGACTGGTCGTTAACGTAATCTAATCGGGTCGAACGTTATTATTAGTGGATCGCCGTGTCCAGATAAAGAGGTAGAGCCATCGGCGAGAGAGTCGGAGCGCAGGCTAGAGCCAGAGCTACGACTACGGCCACGGCTAGAGTTAGAGGTAACACTAGAACGAGAGACGGAGAGTAAGCGAGAGAAAGAGAGGGGTGAGGAGGAGGAGGAGGAGGTGGAGGAAGAAGAGAAGGAGGAAGAGGTGGAGGAGAACGTGGAGGAGGCGGAGGGAGGAGGAGGTGGTGAAGGTGGAGAAGAAAGAAAGAGAAAAAAGGAGAGCACGCGTCAGGTCAGGAAAGACGGGGTACGATCGAAGCGCGTTCAAGGGAAGGAAAAAGGTCGAGGGAGAAACGAGGAAATCGAGCGAAAACGAGGAGAAGAAGGGAATCGAAAGAGAGATTGGCGTAGTTCGCACAGCTTCCGGGGCTCGTGGGTGTTTTTACGAGTACGCGGTGGATCGATAGTTGTCTCGCGAGCTCTGGTCGACGGAGCCGCCGTGGTCGACGACGTTCCCACCGATAGAAACGATTCGATACGATTCGATTCGTTCGAGTGGCAACCGGAATCGGAAAAATCTCGAGCCTCGAGCCTCGAGTCTCGAGTCTCGAGTCTCGAGCCTCGAACGAAACGCGGAGGATCGCGCGACGATTACGCGACACTTGGAATCCCCCGTGATTTATGGGGGACTTTAACGCGAGCAGTCTCTTCTCGAACAGCCTGTCCGGCACGAGCAAGTCGTCGATCGGTAGCAGCGCCAACACCGCCGTAACCATAACGACGTCAACGATGCAGGACGACCTCTTGATCGAGAAACAGGCCGGTGGCAAAACTGCGCCGTTGTCGCCGAGCACCGGCTTGGATACCGTGGCTGGACAAGAGAAGACGAAGGACGCGGTCGAGGTCGAAAGTATCGCTATCGCGGCGACGACGACGCCCTCCTCCGGCGAGAAAGAGATCGCGTGCAGCACCAGCTCGACGCTCCAGGGTTTCTCGGATACGGCCCGAGTACCTAGCCTCTGGTCCGCCCCGGACGACACCGGTCTCCACGCGTTGCCCGTCAACGGTTCGATCGGGGCCTTCCAAAACTTCCCGTCCGGTGGTCCAGCCGGTTTGTTCGCCGGTTCC